CCCGGCTGGGGGAAAGTCCCCCGCCTGCCTGTCTCCTCGGTCAGATCGTGACATGAGAGAAGCGACATTAAACGTTAGGACTCGCACGGCCTTTGGTCTCTGCCGCAGTTAATTTCTCGTAGCTAGGCAGGCAATGTAAAAAGCTGGACAGGGCTGGAGCGCGAATCCCTTAATGCTTCGAATAAGCAGCAGCTTACGAGAGCAGCCCCGGGAATTACTGCAAAATTAGAAATTCACGATTTAATCAGCACAGACCTGATGTTATTTCTGGAAACAAGAGAATTTTGTTTTGTAATGTATTTTAAATAACAAAACCTTTAAAAAAAATTTGGGGAGGTAGGCTTACTTTGAATGACTTTATAACAAAGATAAGAAAAATACCTTTAAGGTGCTTACAATAATTAAATTATTAGTCAGACAGTGTTAAATAGATTTTTCAGTGCAATAAATCTGTTTCTTGCCTTTTGTTTTAGGATGACAGCCAATGGCTTCAGAACCACTGCATGAAAATGGGAGATGCCTATATTATTGTATACTCAGTGACAGACAAAGTTAGTTTTGAAAAGGCCTCTGAGCTAAGAATCCAGCTAAGAAGAGCAAGGCAAACAGAAGACATTCCTATTATTCTTGTGGGCAATAAAAGCGACCTGGTCAGGTCCCGGGAAGTCTCAGTTGATGGTAAGAGACACTACTCATTTATAAAGTGATGTCTAAGTTAGTAGCAAAGGCTATGGAGGATCATGATCAATAGAAATGGTCTGGTTTTGATGTAGAAAAATGGATGATTTGAGGCATACCAGAGAAATCAAGCCAGCTGGCTCATGCTGAGGGACTTGGTACCACAGAAAACAGTGGAGATAGTGTGGGGGGGGGAGACTTGTGACTGCTCAGAGCAATGCTCTGAACTGCAGCACAAGAGAGAAAAAAAAAAAGTTAGAGCTGCAGCATTAGCATATTGTTTTGTGTAGGACTCCTTTTTGGTTGGTATTAACTGAAGGGGTTGAATTGTATGTTGCATGTGCAGCAGCACTTTCTAGTCTCAGGACTTGATAGCTCGAGCTGTGCTTTTTAAGGGACAGGAGTGCTGTGTCGCAGAACCCAGGCAGCCTGTGAAAAGGGTGATCCCGTACAGCCCGTACAATCCTCTTTCTTCTGGAAGTGATTCCATCCCACTGGAGTCAAGCTGGTGGGACCAGGCTCACACAACTTAAAGTCTTTTTGTGTATGTTCTCCAGTTGTGACCAGTGAGAATTTTCTCAGCTAGTTCCAGCTAGCATTTTGGTAACTAGAGCACAGTAACTACTGCCAACAACTCAGTATTAATTTCACTTATTTAAACATTTGGTAGTTTATTTTTGTTTTTTTATTCCACTGGGAGGAATACTCTGAAATATCAGTGACTTGATGATGGTGAGCCATCTCTTAGTGTCTGGTTTTGCTGTGTTCCCTGTGTTAGATGCCTGCACAGGGAATTGACTGGAGTTTGCCAGGAGATTCTTGCTTTTTTGCCCTGTCCTAGTAGTGACATCAATACTTTGCTCAGGCTTACAACTTTGCTGCAGTGCAAATTTCCATGTTCAACTTGTGGTAAATAATGGCAATGTTCCTTACATCTGGAACATCAAGCATCTTGTGTTTTGAATGCAGTCAGTCCTAGTCAAATCCAGTGGTGTACAGCTTCATGACCTCCAGCAATCTGTTCAATGGCTTGACCTTGTGGACTGTTACCAGCTTCACTTGTAACTGGCGTGGAAAACTCTCACTTGTTACAGCAAGGCAGAGGTGCAGAATTGCTCAACAACTTACAGAAAGAAATAGTTTTTATTTTTTCTGAATCTCCCCATTTCCTATCAAACAGCAAGCATGCATCCAAGTGCCACTCCTGTATCCTCTTTAGCTCTGAAACAATACTGGGATGGTCTGTCTGCCAGAACTGTGGTTGCCTTATATTCAGCACCTTTGGTCAAGTGAGATTTCTGACCGTACCCCAGTAGAACCAAGAAAAGTAAGGGGGCAAAACCGAGAGTGCAAATTTGCACCTTTGTACCATTCAGTAAAGCTCTTTTGTGGCATTGAAGGCACTTTCCTTACTTGAGTTTAAGTTTTGTTTTGTTTTTCTGCCAGTATGTACGAAGAGAAAATGTCCATCTCCACTAACATCCCCTCTCCTCTTTCCATCCAGAGGGACGGGCCTGTGCGGTTGTGTTTGACTGCAAGTTCATCGAGACCTCAGCTGCTCTTCATCATAATGTCAAGGACCTGTTTGAAGGTATTGTTCGGCAGATTAGACTTCGCAAAGACAGTAAGGAAGACAATGCGAGGAGAATGGCCAACACAAAAAGAAGAGAAAGCATAGGAAAAAAGGCAAAGCGATTCCTTGGAAGAATTGTGGCAAAGAACAATAAGAAGATGGCTTTCAAAGCAAAATCAAAGTCTTGCCATGACTTATCTGTGCTTTAGAAGCGCTCAGCAAGACCAGATGTTGCACGTGGCAACACAGCATTTGACTGTTACGAGAAGTGTGTGAATGATCCTCGTGGTGATAACAAGAATGACTTATCAAGTGAGACTCTCGTTAATGCCTTAAGGTGCACAAGCAAGTCCGGAAGTGACACTACAATGTCTGCTTCATTGATAAATGGTTTCAGTTTCAGTGTATGCAAGCTAAATGAACTAATTTTGAAGTGGCTTGACATGCCCACATTTTCACTGTGTACATATGTTGTATATCCTCTTGTCCTGTGGATACTAGAGATGCAAAGATGAGAAAGGATGATGAGTATCACCATAGACTTGTCTTGTTTGCAGAGCAAAACTTAAACTTGTACGCAGGCTCGTACACTCTTTTTAGTATAAAGCAAGCAATGATAAATCTTTTTAAACTTAAATGTGGGGAGGGGGGAGTAGAACCACATTAGAACAGGAGAAAACAAATTACATATATATATAGCTAAATACAGAACAGATACCATTTTATGAAGTTAATTTGCACTTCCATTAGCTGTTATTCAATTAATTTGTTACTTGTTTACATGCAGATTTTATAATAAAGTATTATTTCCTGCTATAATAAACTGTGCTTTTCTCATTGTATGGATAAAGAATGAGAGAGCAGTATTTTTGTACTGACCTTTTTTCACTGTGCAAAATGTTCTACACAGGCTATGCAGATTTACATGTGATAAAGTTCTGGAACAAGATGAATCAGGAGTGTCTTGTGTCCTTTTCTTCAATAGGCAGTTTCTTTAAGAAGTAAACCCTACTTTTGTGAACACTCCAACAGCTCATATAGGGAAGAGGTGCCTTGACCCTTCATATAATTGCTCGTCTTCAGCCTAGTTCTCTTGTCAGCTCTGGCAGGGACAGACCTCTCTGTCATGACTTTAGTTAGACAGATGTCTTGTGTCTATACTGATAAATTGAAGCCGGCACTGTTCTACTTTTTAATTTCTCTCCTGGCTTGAAGGTCTTGTGTTACAGTCAGTAAGC